CCTTTCTTTAATTAATTAACGCTTTAACTAATTAAACTAGAATGCAACATTTTTCATTTGGTTTTTGTATCCATAGAATTGATTTAAATGGAGCTAAATGAAATGAAAATCCAATTCTCATTTAAAGAAACAAAACAATTTTGTTCTCTACCTAATTTGGGCCAAAATTCTATGACCTCAACTTGTTTGGGCCATAGTGCAATTAACCTCAACTTTTGGGCTATTTTGCAAAAACTTAAACTTTTGGGGTCACTTTGTAAAAACACAAAAGTCCACTACTTCATGTAATTACAACTAGAACCCAAAATTTTCCACAAAAAATAAAACTTCATTAAAGGAGCAAAACAATTTGTCCTTTTAGTGATTTTGGACCTTTACGTAAAAACGTAAACTTTTGGGTCAAAATGCAAATACACAAAAGTATCAAAACTTTATATAATTGCATGAAAGCCCCACAAGGACCCTAATTGAGTAGGGTGGCTGATTTTGAAGCAAAGTAATAAAAAAAAATTTCAAAGTTTTTGTAAGTGGGGTGTGTGTAATGGAATAAATCATTACACACCAAACCCACTAAAATTTCTTTAATTTTTCAAAATAAATATCTAATATATTTAAACATAAGAAATATTTCAAAACAAAAACTTTATGAAATAAATCAAAACTTTGAATCAAAACACCAAACCTTTTGTTCTTGGCAAGAACATATCAAGAACAATGAAGAACATTCATGAAAACCCATAAGAGCTCCATGAACATTCTTCACCCAAAAACATACCAAAACCACTCAAACTTAAGGGAAATAACATACAACCATACTAGGGTACATAGGGGTTCCAAAAGTCACTTTAAAACACTTTTAACAAGTCAAACAAGAACCCAAAATTCCACCCTTTGGATTTGGCCGAATTTCCCCAAAAACATGGCACCAAATTTTAGCTCCAATTTCATGCTCATATGAACTACATCTACAACATTTGAGATGGCAAATTTTCTAACAAAATTTACATTCAAAGAAGCAAGAATAAAGCTTGTAACAATTACAACATTCAAATCATAAACTATGAACTACAAAACCCAAAAGGATTCACCAACTACTAGACTTAGGCTCTGATACCACTTGAAGGAAAATTTGTGAAAAACATGTTCATTTAAGCAACATCAATAGCATGCAATTAACAATTAAAGGCGGAATCATGCTTGTATGCACTTAAAACAAAACATTTACCCATGAAATTCAAAGCCTAGTAGATAGGTGAACCAAGACTCAACTCAAAACAAAGTGAGTTGAGAAATCAATACCTTTGTAGATTCCTCTTTGCATAAGCAAAGGCTAATCACCCAAAGAGAGGGCCTTCATTCCTTGCATCTTAGATCCATGGATTTGAATGGATGAAAAGGATTCTCCAAGTTCCCAAAATTGAGAACCTCTAAGTCTCCACACCAAGGTAAGATTGGAGAAGAAATGAGTGACCTTGAGGAAGTAAGATTGCTAGATGTTTTCCTCAAGGGTGGCTGAAATTTTAGAGAGAAAAGAGAGCTTGTGTTCTCATCCTTTCCCCCAAAATAACCCTTAGAAAACCCTAAGGATGAAATGGCTATAAAGATGTCTTTATACCACCTCACAATGGAGTGGCAAACTTGCAATTAAGCCAAGTTCACTACCCTCCTCTATATGGCCGAATTTAAGGGGATTTATTGGGCTATTTGGGCCTTTGTGAATCATTATTCATTAAGTTGTCATACAACTTAAGTCAATGGACTTGACGTTCGAAGCCCATTGGGCCTTAAGGTCCAAAACTATCCCGAGGTCTTTAACGAACTTATTCGTTTGATTAATTAACATATTAATTAATCCTTGCCATAAATAATTAAACCATTTAATTATTCTTACTCATCTCCGTTGAATCTTCAATCTCTACCTTACACGGTGTACGATCCATTAGGTTCCTTTTAGCGAGGCAGTGGGCGATTCAAACTCTTTCAAATCGATTGTGAATTGAAACTTACTTTCAATTCTCCCGTTAGTGATAATACACTTTTAGGGCTTCCACAAACCATGGTTGACGCCTAGCAGCATGTCATGGTTACCCAAGCTAATCAGAAGAGGTGGAGAACCTATTCAGTTTAGGATTACAAATGCAATACGGTCTTTCTCTAATACAATACTCTTGACCACATTGTTTGGTTTGATAGTTTATTCATGTCTACTATCCAATGTGAATCTTGTACTTATATGATTACCTTGAATGTGATCTGGAACGCATTCCAACATCTCATTCATACTCTGGCCAGAGATTCTAAATCATATCATAGAGTATTCTCCCTCAAATAGTTTGAAGGTTAGAGATCCCTTGTTGCGCATTCACTTGCCTCCATGGCTAAGTGGCTTAACCCCAACGATGCCGTGGACACCCTGATAGAGTGACGTTGACATAATCAAAGATTAAGGACCTAACCACAAGACAACTGTGATGCCTCAGGTCAAAAGACTAATTTGCATTATCCTAACCATGAGTTCTCATGTGACATGAATATGAGAACTCTTCGTTGATCGTGTTCAGTGAACTCATTCTCTATTGAGCACCTACGTACTTGTCTTGATGTCACACACACCAATGACTCGAGACTAGTCACTCTCCCTGAGAGAAGACATAGCACGTACTGATCTTAACGGACTGTCAATGCCCAATTGACAATCCTATGATCAGGAACGTTTAGGATGTGTCAACGAAAGAATGGTCTCATGAATCTAACTTCTTTAGATCGCATTCTTCCAATCACATATTCCTTGGACTTATCGTTTAAGCATATAACATTTATATTAGACGGCTCAAACAATAATCTTTGCCCTTTAAACTACATTAGTTTGAAATGTCCGTAAAGTATCATCATATGATTGGTTTTAGGGCACATTTCCAACAGTAACATCCTTCAATTTCAATAAAGGTAAGTCATCGGTAATGTTATTGTTTGTTCCATCAGTAGAATGATCTAGACACCTGCTCTCAACAAGTTTGTACCATTAGTAGTCATCGACTAGCTTAGTAAATAAGTGAAAATGCAACCTTTAGAGCAGACATATGATGCACGTTTGGGATCAAACAAGGAATAATAATATTCACCAGCATAAGATGCACGTTTGTGACAAACCTCAAACCATACGCCATCTGAGTGGACCATCCATGATGTTCTCAGTTGGCATGGTCCATCGGGCTAGTTGACCACGTGTGGTATAGATGTATTCATGTAAACCCCAGTCAACGGGCATTGGCCTTTGCTTTATTCAGATTGGCTATGATAAGAATAGAAATGGAACAAAGCGAGTTACTACCATATGGTAGCAAGACTTCCTTGAAACGGATTCTTGGAAGAGTTAGACAGAACAGCAAAGAAGCCACCAAATTGTGCCCTAAACTATGATGAAATTTGTAGTTCACCAATGTTCCTATAATCTTTAAATTGTGAGCACATGCAACCAAAACCAATTGGTGATACGTGGAGAGGCCCAAGATATGTATTTTCAAAACAAATAAAATACAATTAAAAAATAAAATAAAATACGCATGCTTCAGACTCCTGATGTGTGATTTTACATTTGCTAACATTTTCTAGTGCTCCTATAAATGCTCATCTAGTTAGTTCTTATTTCATGCATGACAACATTTATTGAATTTATACCAAATAGTTTTGGCAAAGGGAGGCAGCAAGCTTGAGGCAACAATTGCAGTACTTGGAAGAATGCCACAGGTACAACCATTGCTTTATATTGAATCTTCAACATAGCCTAGCAATTTGATTCAAGTACCAAAACATAACAATGCATATTTCATGTTGCTTATTCAAAAGGATATCATACTAATTAAGGTTCATCTAACTACCAGCCCAGAAAACCTTTTCGATGTGGAGGAAGACTAATGAAACGAGGTTTCTTGATTATTGATAAGAAACAGAACAAATAATTAGCACCAATTGAGGAAATACAGTAGCAGTGGACAAGAAGTCCACTGAATCTACCAGAAAAAATAAATAAATTAATAAATAATTAGTATCTAGCTGCTCAGCCCTAACATAGAAAATATAGATGCAATCTCAAGAGATCTTCACAAAAGGAAACAGGAAATGTCTCTGAACTCTTAAAAACTGAGGACCACAATGGAGCCCAACAACACATTGACCTAAACCTAAATGATCTGGGTGTTCCCTATGCTTCCTCCTTAAGCGGTTTTTAAAAGAGACGAAGCTTTAAATCAACTGAAATGCAACTTTGTACAAAACATTTCACAAGGTAACATTCAGTGTATATGAATTAGTTTGTGAGAATGTTTAGAGTGCACCCACACACCTTCTGTAAATTATGCAGGCAGTTAATGGGGGAAGAACTTTCTGGTTTGAGTGTCAAAGATCTACAGAATTTGGAAAGCCAGCTGGAGATGAGTTTGAAAGGTGTCCGGACGAAAAAGGTATCAAAAGCCTAAGCCCTGATTCTAGTCTCACTTAATAATTCCATGTTCCATTCTTTATATAGCACATGCATGGCACTCATTTTTTTTTTTTTTTTCTATTCTGCAGAACCAGATATTTAATGATGAAATAAAAGAACTGAACCAGAAGGTTGCCCAAGAGCTAGCTCAATTTCCCCCAGTTGATTAATATTAATTCATTTTATTGGGGGTAAATTGATGCATATTACCGTTGTTTTTCTACTTTATTTTCAGGAAATTTTCATACATCAAGAAAATATAGAACTGTATAAGAAGCTAAACCTCATAAGTAAAGAGAATGAGGAACTACAAAAGAAGGTATTATTTACACATTAAGCTCTACTTTACTATTTAACACATAATATAATTCATCTAAAGGATAGAGATAGGCAATGGGTAGGGAAAGTAATAGGTACCAAATGAGCTTAAAACACAAAGCCATTATGTTAATTATACTTATCATGCGAACGCAAAGATGTTCTCTCCAGCAAACACTAACACAGAATATTTTAATCTCAGGTTTATGAAGCAAGGGATGTGAATCGAGGAAACAAAAGTTCCCAGCCTCCATATAGCATCAGTAATGATTATGATTTGCATGCACCCATCCATCTGCAGCTAAGCCAGCCACAGAATCAAACTCAGCCTGGGCCTGGTCCTAAGAACAATGAAGTACCAGCAAAAGCAATATATAACCCCACTAAAGAGTAATATAGCATACCATATTGATTCCAATGGACCAACCCCAAAAAGAAAAAATAAGCAAAGCTCACTATTTTGATTATGTTATTAACATCTCTTCAAATTGTGCAACAGATTACAACTGCATTAGCAAAGCTGTTTCACAGTTGTGGATGGCCATGTCATAATGCAGAATGCAGACAACTTGCACCGCAGTGAAAGCCAATCTTTTAGGAGCGAAATGTCATACTACAGTAAATGTATCCAACCGAAGGACCAAAAGCTTTGGTACGAAATGTTCTGTCAAACAAACTTCGCATTTCTGTAAAAAAATTAGACAACCAGTGTGTAAGTTTATACAATATGGGAGAGAATTGTGTCAGGACCAACTTTTATCTGCATTAAATATGTGTTGTGACCAATCAGATAACAATTGTCAATTGTTATGCCTAGATGACTTTCAAACTGACCATTATGTTTTTATTAATTCTAGCAGCAAAATTCTGATGGAAAAATAGTTAAATAAGAAATATGGAGACACGGAACAATATCATGGAAGATACATTTAAGAAGATAACGAGTTATTATCCTTTAGAGAGTAAACCTGTATTTACCCTGCTTGTACCAGTATATGGCTTCTATCGTATTGTTTTATTTTTGTTTTTCTTGTTGTTGAGGATTCACAGGTATATTGAGAAAAACATCTTTTGCATGAACAATTAGTACTTAACAATCCAATTATTATTTCAGATAAATCTTGTACCTCTAAGAACAAAGTATTGATAACTGTAGATAAACAACCTGCTGAAACTATGAGTCAGCAACATACGCAGACTAACAGAGTAACACATAGAATAGATGAGAAAGAAAAAAAGGCATGTCCTATAAACAGGATGAAAGTATTTTTATAACTAGTAAACATTTATAAACCAACAAAAAAATTTTAACTATAATTTCTAAGAGTTTATCAATTTGTAGTTGAGTTAAAGATTAGCAGTACATGAGATCACTCATATGAAGTTTGTTATAATTCTGAAGGTGAAAAAGAAAGATTTCCCTGAGTTCCATTCATAAATTCCCTTGTCACTTAAAGGTAGTACATTAGAAAGTGCAGTGACAGAAAGCCAGAATTTCAGACATTGGACTCCCCAGAACTAGAAGTAGATTACCCAAAACCACATAACATTGCTCTACACATTAAAGGAGATCTGAGATACAACAATGAGAATGTGTGCACTATGTTCACATTTTATATCACTACCACACAGATGATACAGAAAACACAAGTAGGCATGGGTTAATATATTTAGTCCGCACAATGTCCAGCGCATTAGCAGACCCATTTACTTTGATTTATTAATTTGGCACATAATAAGAGACAAACCACTAGAATCTTCGTAATGTAAGGGCTTAACTGCATTAGTAGTGCTTGCAGGCTTCTATGATGAACTCAGAGAAATTAAAACGTATAGCGCATTATGTGCATCTGCAGTGAAAATTGATAAGAGGAAAGACCTTTACACTGAAATTCTGAAAATCATGGAAGATCCAAATCTCCCGCAGCAATCTTTTCAATCTCAGCTATCACAGCTAACAGATAGGACAATTCACTACTGTCATTAAAGCTGCTCAACGTGATTTTAATCCAGAAAGGAAACTTCCAAATAGTAGATTGCTGGCTCAATAATTTTTGCCAAATTGAAACTGTTCCTATTATTAGCCACTGTGCTAGTCTAAAACAGGCCTCCTGAATGATTGAATAAGATATTTTACTACAAAATCTTCAACTATATCCTCTGTTTCTAAAACCAATTTGTGGTTGATATGTGGTAAGTAGTAACTTTCTGGTTTATTTGTAATCATGATAAAAAAAACATAACCAGTGCATATTTAATAACTTCGAAGGCAATCAATACATATTTAATAAACTAGAAGGTCATCATGCCAATACTTTAAAAGTATTAACACTCTTCTCAAGATTTACTCCTGCTTCCAATACACTTTTTAGAGGCCCAGGATTTCAAGAAGGAATACTACTCACTGCTGTCATTCTATGGTAAGACTAAAAGATAAAATGAACAAGAACAGCAGCAAGCATAAAAACAAACAAGCTACTAACACTTCTGATTTGAAGAAAAAATGCTTCATGGTTGGTATTTATTGTTATCCTAAAATCAAAGAGGGGGCTGCCTGCACTACCATGATTTCACAAAATGCAAGTCTTAAAAATAATCGATTTTCTGGTCTTCTATAAAATCTATTACATAAAGCTCAACCACTGATTTAAATTTTGAATACCAAACAAACAGTGCGCAGCAATCAAAAAGCAAATCTACTATAAGCTAACCCAAGATTCTTGCCTGTGTGGAAACAATGATCAATATTTTAGCTCTTTAGTTGCAAAATAATCCTTTGTTGTTGGTGACCCAATATTGGAGGAATTTTTGTGCCAATTGATGTTAAATGTATAAAAAGGTAATGAAGATAAATTAATCACCCATTTACTTAATCACCATTTGCTAAACAAGTGTGGAACGATCTTTATTTACATTTGGGATTCAACAGGTGCTAAAAAAACTCTCTATTTAATCTTCTAAAAGGTGGCCTAGGAGTTTCCAGATAAGAAGGGATGCAATCCAATTTTCACTACCTCCATTTTTTCCTGAAAACTGAGTAAATATTTCTATCAAAGTCTCTTAGATGAGATGTTGCATTCCTTTTTTTAATTCACTTTGCATGCTGTAAATGTACATATGCTACCTTGCTCGGTCTGAAGAGTCCTTTGAATATTTTTTTATTTTTGGGTTAACAAACTGGGCAAAAAAACGCAAGAAAAAGATAAACAAAAGAAAACTTAGACCTTAGAGCTATAAGTCCTCCGAATATTATGTTGTTGGATTAGTGATCAGTTTCGATATTTTTGAATACCAATATAGAATAGAAAGGTGACACAAATAGTTCTTGGGAGAAAATTGAGTCATCTGGGAGATATTTTATTCATTAAATGTTCTAGATTCTTTTATACATCCAGTTGCTTCATCAATTTGAATTATCCGGTGGTTGGAAAAGGAAGGGATATCGGCAGCATTCAAATGAACGATTTGAAGACCTGTTGATTCTAAAAACTGATTGCAGAGTTTATCAGGTTGGGGGGTAGGTCTGGATGGGGAAGTTCTAGCACATTTTCCTTGCTTTGTGTGCGAAGTACTTCACTTAACTTGAGGTACTGGGTGTAGCTTTTCGACGGGAAAAGATGCCTAATATTAAAACAATCAAGTACTTAGAAGAGTTTTTATTTCTAAACACCTCTTCTTCCAAACTTAATCTGTACTTAAGAACTTGAGTTTCTTAACTAATATGCTAATCAGGTATGCAGACCCATAGATAAACCTACATGCACATGCGCGCGCGCACACATACACACATACATATGGGAAAATAAGATATTAATGATCATACTGTGCTTTACTTATACTGTTATTGTATTTATACAGATGTAAACTTTACATCTGTATACTTCAGCTTGCCTATATTTCACCACAAATGAACCACAATTGCCTAAAACCAATGTAATCAGGTCACCAATGTTGTGGTTTGGTTTGGTTCAGTTTGCGGTTTAACATGCATGTTTACGCAATGGAAAATTCAGAGCTATTGACAAAGTAAATAATAGAAAAAATTAGTCCACTTATCAATTAAAAAAAAAAGTCATAGTCAACATTGGAACTTAAATTTACAAGCTCATAACGTGAAAATACTTAATCTCATAACTCAACTAAAAGTCTCAAACTTCTAATCTCATAACTCCAAGATGTTTGATAAAATATTAATATATATAATATTTATGTGTGTTCTTCATACAATATTATATGTATTATGTATTATGTATTATGTACTATTTTATATTTTATTATAAGTGGTTTGGTTTGGTTTGGTTAACCCACGTTTGTAAAAATCAAAACCGCACACTAAACTGATTCTTTCTGTCTGGTTTGGTTTTATAAACCAACAACAACAACATAGCATTTTCCCCCTAGATGGGGTTGGCTAACCAACCAAACCAACCAACCAAAATGGCTTGGTTTGGTTGGTTTTTCAGGTTTTCGTTTTCTTTGCCCAAGTCTAATGTAAACCTACACCTATTATCTTAAACTTTAATAAAAAGTGAATTATCATATTCTTACTTTTACTTTTTAATACACTAGACTAGATACATAATTGTAACTTATTGCTTGAACCAAGTGCAGAAGTTGGTGAGTTACTTTCATACCAAAGCATCGATAATTTGGCATCCAATCATCTATTGATCCACAAACAAAATTTTCAATGGGTAGATTCAACAGATACCCATGATCCATAAGGCTTCATAGAGATTACTGAAATCCCAGACCAATTTATATTCAAAAACAAAACCCTCAATTGCTTTACGCGATATGAACAGAATTGATTTATACCAAAAGATGGATTAATTAATAACATTTTTTTTTTTTGAAAAAAATAAATTAATTAAACTAGCCTAGTTGAAAATGAAACTCAAAGGGTACATCCAATCAAGCTTGTGGATGCATTCAAGGGTCATTTTGGGACTGCTTTTGTAGGAAGAACTTATGCTCATAAACACTTTTTTCTAGAAGACAAGTTCAAATGACCCAAAATCATTATCAAGTTTTTCTGCCAAATGATGTTGGTAATGGTACGGGCTTGTCCTTAGCAGAAAGCACCTTTAGCCGTTCCAGAAGCAGTCCCAAACTATACATGTTAGTACTAACTCCTTACTACATTATCATATATTACAATCTGAATGGGCTGGTCACCGTATTACTCTAGTCTCTAGCACCATAACATGAATATGATAAGAAAACATTACCCTACACACACACACACATATATTCCTAATACACAGCAGAAAAACCTACAAACCCAAAACTTTGCAATCGTTCAAGTAAATATCTACCAAAAGCTTTAGAAACTCTAATATTCAGTACTAGCCCAAACCCAAAACCCTAAACCCTAAACCCCAATCCCTGTGGGCAATATAATAAATAACTAACTTGCATCCAATTAAAAGTGCTATTTCTTTGTAGAAAATAGAATTTCAGTACCTGTTGCACCAATTTCAATCCAATCCAATCCAATGCAATGCATCCACCTCACTTTGATCGAACAAAAACCGCTACGCCGAATCATCCCAGCCACAAAGTCTACTGTCAATATACGGAAGAAAATGCAAGAAGATACATAAATATCAAAAACCATCACAAACAGAGGAAATACTTTCAGTATATACACGTTACAGATATACAGTCGCCGCACAGATATGCATCTTCAGATACACATCACGCCATAAATAACTATAACTATATATATATATATATATACATTAGACATACATGTACACACATATGTTTATCGTCTTCACCTGTGCGTGAAAAGGAAGCCATGAAAAATACATCTGCGGATCTGAAGTCCTCGATTACAGGAAACAAAGTGTGATCAGCAAGAAGCTTAACTCGGATTAAGGAGAGGAGATGAAATCTGGTTCAACAAGCAACGAAGAGTCCGAATTCCGACGAAACCAGAAGGAGCGTTGCTTGTGCGTAGAGAGAGAAGAAAATATCTCAGGAGCTGTTGATTACATTTGACTACATGAGCCCACGTAACTTGGGCCCCATTAACGGATACGAGTTGAGTGTACAAGTGTCGCATTGGCTGCCAATGTGGCATATACTAATGAATCCGGATCCTCCTGTGAGGATTCGGAAATATGTAAATCGTATATGTTCATTGTGTATTGTGTAATTATTTTTCATCAGATATTATATGTGTTTAATTTAAAATAATTTTTAATTGCACGATGTACGATGAACGGATACAATACACGGATGCAAATAATCCTCACAAAAAGAATCCAAAGATGATCCTTATTCTATACTAACATCATAAATAGTCTTTGGATATGTTAGGAGATATATTTTTTTAAGCATTGATTAACGTGTTTATTTACTATTTGTGACACATTATTTAGTTTACAAATTTGGTTTATATTTTGATCTGCAAATTTAGTTTAAAATTTTGATCACTCTAGCATTATCCATAATCTTTAAACTGAACTAACTTATCATATAGTTTTTAACCTTGAAAATTAATTAAAATCGTCTTTAAACTTGACTATTGCACATTAAGTTGATCATTGCCGTTTATTTTCGTCAAGTTTTTCACGTAGCACACTTGTGGCCAAAACAACCAATGATTTAGTGTCATTTAAACTACATATTAATGAAATCTTTTTTGTCAACCAAAAGATGATAAAAAGACATTTTTGTCTTCTATCACAACAAAAAAATTAAGGATAATAACGTAATTTCACAAAGCAAAATTTTGTTGTTTCTTGTTTAAACCTCACCTACAAATGATTTTATCATCTCTAATTAAAAATAAAAAAAAATAAACATCTCTCCCTCTCTACTCCAACGTTCTCTCTCACCCTCTTCCTCTCTTCTTTAATTTTAAAAACAAAAGTAAAAAATTTCACACGCTTTATGTGTGAGCATATACTAGTGTAAATGATAACAAAAGAGATATTGCTATTTAAGCAAATAAAATTAGGAATCTTTTAGTGTAAATACTGATTTTTAACGAACTTTTAGCTAAACTATCATTTTTTTTTAGTTTAGGTGTAATGAAACGTTAACTAAAACAACTCTATAAATACTATAATAAAATATAATTACATGATTAACGCTCAATCTACCACATTTTAGACCAGTTGATTAAATTTTTCGACTATCGAACAATTATAAATTTTTTAATTTTGTTGTGTATACATGTAGATACATGTAAAAATAATTAACTCACGCAAGAAAACATAATTGAAAATTGACAGTGGCCGGTGACAATTTGTGCAAAACATAATGAAGATTGATCAAATTTTTCCGCTACCATAAAAAGTCGTTTTGCTTATGATTAGATATAGTTAGTTTTCGGCTACCCGCCGATCAAAACATATTTGAGAATATTAATATATTATTTTACTGATCAAAATGATTCACGATTGATAATTAGAATTTACATTAATATATTTTTAATGTGAATCAAAGTCAAAATTATGACATACGATGATGATTTTGGCTCAAAAGTTATTCTTGAAAAGAAAAACTAATGAAAAGAGCTTGAAAGTTTTGAATTTTAACGATAAAAATAAAATAAATAATACTATATTTAATTTTTTTTTTATAAAAATATAATTTTTAATTAAAATAAACAGGATAACAAAGTTTTTGTGCATACTCCCTTTTTGAAAACATTTATAATTGCCTGGTTTCGACCGAAAATAAAGGAAATACCTTTGCCTCCTTTGCCTGGCCCCGCCATGGCAATCTCTCGCTGAAGTGAAGTCGACCCTCTCCTGAACGGCGTCGTCAATGCCTCATTCCCTTGTCGGAAAATGGAGAACCACCATCTTTGCCTCGGCTTCTCCGCTGTCACAAGCCCGGAGCTTCCGTTCAGACGCAGCGTTAGAAGCCCTGGCCAAAGCCTCTCAAGACAAAGTTCCCAACTTGCTTCTCTACAACTACCCTTCTTTCTCTGGAGCTTTCTCCGCTCTATTCGCTTATCTCTTTCACTCTCGCCTCAACCTCCCCTTTCTCTCTCTTCCTTTCTCTTCCGTCGAACCCTTCAGGTTCAATCTCTCTCTCTCTCTCTCTCTCTCTCTCTCTCTCTTATATTTCTTAGCATCCAAACATTCCCTTAACTTTTTGTTCTTAATTTTTTAATTTTGGTTTTACAGAGTTGATGAGTTGCGGACTGAAGGGCTGGAAAGGTGCTATCTTGTTGATTTTCTTGGCCGCGAGGGATTTGCGGTCGAGCTTGCGCAGAGAGCTTCGTGCGAGTAGGTTTCCATTTGTGCATTCTCCAGTGATGAATTTGTTTTGAAATGCATGTACATTTGTGTGAATGATTGAGATGTAGTTGTTGCCAAGTTGTTTTGCTTATGATTGTCGACCTGTTGCTCTCAAATTTCAATTAGGGTAATTGCTTTTGATCATCGAAAAAGGGTACTTCCACAGATACCCTCTAAGGAAGATTGTCCAAAGAACCTCACATTTCATGTGAATCTTGAAAAGAGTAGCTCTAGCGCTGCGTATGACTACTTTTCAGCTCAACTGGCCGGTATTAAATATGCTAATGTAAGTTGGATTGTAAATCTTTTTCATTTGCAGTTTTGGTATCGAGAAATGGTCTATTGAGATTCTTCAATTTTATTTTGCTTTTCTTGAAATTAGGGAATGGATGCAAGTTTATTAGAACCCGAGGACAGAGATCGTGTAGAAATGGTGCTGAAGTACATTGAGGATGGAGATCTCCGTCGGTGGAGCTTTGCCTGACATTAAGGCATTTAACATTGGACTCGGTGAATGGCGCTCCAAGTTAAATTGTGTTACTAATCCGTACATGTATGAACAGGTTTGGAATCTAAATTTGAACAAGGCACCTACCCATCCCAGGAATACTTTTCCCTTCATTTTCAGTTCACCATGCCTAGTTCTGAAGTCACTATTGACTTTCTTAACATCATCCTTGTTGCAGTTACTGGAAATAAATGCTGTGGATGTAATTACCAAGGGGATGTCTTATATTTCCGCTCGCCAGAAAGCTGCAAACAAGTTACTGGATAAGGTTTTTAAAATAAGGCTGGGCAGAGGGTTTTATGGGGAGTGTCTGGTAAACTATTGATTTCTCCCTTTCAAACTGTTTGCCTATGTGCTACTTAGTCGCGATTAGTTTACATTGACGACAATGGTTTAGTAGGATTTGCATGATTGGCATGAAATTATGTAATGCCATATTATATGATAGGATTAAAAGCAGTTATTCTATTGCTTCCTCAATGGTTTCTTCTCACCATTTCTATTTCCTAGTTTGATCCTTTGGAAGTATATAACCAGATGTTTATTCCTACATTTTTATTGTAGGGAGTTAGAGCTGACGGGAATTCTGAGTTAAGTGATGAAATTGCCAAGCAGCTTAGTGTACAAAGTGCCGCTGCAGGTCTTAGGTAATTTAACTGGTAAAATTTTTTACAGTTTCTATTTCTTAAAGGATCTGCTCTCTTAATATAAGATTATTTCTGCACTTTAACGCAGATGCCTATCTGTACAGTGACTACAGTCAACAGTTAAGTATGGAATTGGTTTATGGGTTTTTGTATGGACTTGGATTTATGATCTGCCCCCAAACTGTGCACATTACTAGATTCCTTTATTTTTGTAATTGCGTGACCCTCAATCATGCAAGGTTCCTGGGGATATACAACTGGCTTGATCTTTGCATTCATGCCAAAACGATTCCATAAAGGTTTTCAGTAAGATGCTTCTATTTTTTGTTCAGGCTTTCACAGAGTCAGAATGTGGTTCATTTAGTTTAGGATTCCCTAAATCTTGTAAAATTGATGAGCCAGCAAAATCTTGTTTGGAGAAGTATGAATGTCAAGCAAGACATTTATAGGTGTTGTGGCTACAATTTTATTAGAAAAGAAATATCCACTTTGGATGCCAAGACTAAGCCTATTAGTAACAACAGAATAAGTTAAAAGGTCAATCAAAGAGTTAATGTCAAGCGCCAATAAGAGTGAATGCCTATTTGAGCCTAATTTTGAGACAATCTGTTTTTAAGTTTTATAAGGGTCTCTTATTGTTTAACGAGTCTCTTGATTTTTCTCTGTAATTTAAAGGATAGATTTTGAAAGCCCTGGCGCCTTGATATGTCCTTTACTTTTCTCCTCTACCTTTTGTCTCCCATTCTTCTATGTTTCACCAATTTCTATAAAAATGGCCATGTATAGCTAATAGCTATTCTATTTACTATATAGCAAACCAGTTTGTCCTGTTCTACATCATATTGGTATTAGAGCTCATGTCGGCTCTTTTTTGGATGGTGAGGAGAGGAAGGAATCGAAGAATTTTTTACGATCAAGAAGAACAGGTGGATTTTTGTAGGGTAGGATTCACACTTCTCTATGGACTTCTTTGCCTAAACAGTTTAAGATGCTCCCTTGATATTTTTTTTGTATTTGTCTGTTTTTCTGGTTTAAGAGTGTTTGTGAATGTATAACTCACAATGTACTTGTATTCTTAGGGTTTTCAGTGCCTAGGCTTTGTGTAGCATAGGATTTATGGTTTTGAGTCTGATTGCTTGCTGTTTGCATTTCTGCATTTATAGTTCATAAGTAATCAAACTTTGGTGGAGGAATTTGCACCGTGTAGTGTTCGTTGGATTAAGTTTCAGAATATCTCAAAAGCATTTCCATTCATGATGCAGGCCTATAGGAGCAGTTATATTCATGCAACGGAGAAACCTGAAAATGTGTTTAAGGAGTACTGATACTGCTACGGATACCTCTGAAGTTGCAAAGGTGTGGCTTCAGTACTTATGTGAGCACATATCAGTATTTCTTTTCATTTTTTATTTTTTTGCATAACTATTCAGTTTTAGTGTTGTCATCATCATCACTATTAATTATTGTTGTTGTTGTTGTTATTTCTGATAATGCAACTTGATATGTGAAGGCATTTGGAGGAGGAGGCTCCCCAAGTTCTAGTTCTTTTATCATAAGAATGGATGAGTACAATCAGTGGGTTTCAGGATATTCAAGATGAACATGTCAAGATGTGAAACACTATCGTTAAGGTAATCCTCAAAATTCTTTGAATTACTGACCACCTCTTCTTGCTAACCTTTCTATTTAAGCTATAAATACAGAAATTTTAATCAGGTGTTCTACCTGTCTTAATTTCATCTTGGAAATTTAATATTTTCCTGCAACCACTTTTGAATTTACTCGCACAAGTGAACTTTGATCCGTGCAAACAAGCATTACCATTATAAGGATGACAGGGTTCAATTATATTTTTTTTAATGTATCTCGCTATATAGTAGTTAGTTTTCACCAGTTCAGTGAGCCAAATAATAGATTTCGGTAAACTGTTTGAAGTTCAATGTTCCAAGCCGTTGTTGATTATTTCCAATGGGGTGTGGTGAATGCCTTGTGCATTTGGATGTGGCCTATGTCAAATATTGTGGAGGATGAGAAAGATTGGTTGCAAATTATTCAAACACTAAGTTTAGATTAAGATTGTTCTATATGGCTATGAGGGCTCTAAGTAATGGTGCTTCCCTTGTAACGAGATATGGGTCTACAAATCCTCCCAAGTAGCCATTTTCAGTTTGATTTCCAATCAACAGAAGAGTTGGATAAATTTAGCTTGTTTATGTCTATTGTTTTTGCTTTCATATAAGAGATAGCAAGCCAGTGATTTATCTTTATCGCCTTAGGAGACAAATCCATTGTACATTCAATTATATTCTAATAGCTTCTCGTTCTGTCTCTGCAATTTTAAAAATAAAATCATTTGTAACTGGTGACGAAAATGGGCTTTAGTTCACCGGACAACTGTCTACTGCTATGCCCTTGGCGGTTGGACAAGTAGCCAGGTCACAGTGTTCACCATTTGTACCCCACCAGGTCAAACTTTTATTCTCCATGCCTACTGAAAGGTACAATAGAACTGCCATGAATGCCACCCCAGCATCCATCGCTGCTGAAAGAATATAGTTGTACCTCTGCCACCAGTTCTTCCTGTAACGGAAGACAAAAAAATTGAAAATTGTTCCGACTATGATCCAGGAATTGTAGTTCAATGCTGTTGCTGGTGGCATCAAGCCTGTTGCTCCCAGAAGGACTGGAAGATTAATCAGCCTTATCCAATGTTGCTTTGGGTATGCCTTGTGCAGTACCCAAACAATGACTGGTCCTACTGCACCTCCAAGGAAGAACCAGTTCATGGCACCATAGTTTCCAAGAGATCCAAATATACGTTTAGGTCCTGCCAAACCCCATATCACGGATGCATCAAAGAAAACTCGGTCATTTGGGCATGTCCAAGGGCTATCCGAATGAGGATCATCGACGCACATATTCTTGATAGAGTTTAGCAACCAATGTGCTACTGCAAGGTTGACGGTTCCTGCTAGAATTGTTCCTATGAACTAGGCATACATGTAAGAATGCATCAGAATATATTCTGAAAAGCAAAGTAAAAATATAAACTGGAATATGTCACCTGTAGATTATTTCAGATTTTAGTTCTTTACTTCAGCTCTCCTGGTATTTGTTAAGAGGTACTACTTTTAGAAAAAAATCTCAAGTTTTTCACAAGAATTTTAAGAATGTTTTCAACTATGCCATTAGATTTTTCATTTGTATGTTTCTGTTACATTAAATTTAATATACCTGAACTAAAAACATTGATCTTGGAGGGATCTTCATGTAATGCCCAAGCTTGAAATCGTTCAGGAAGGAGACTGCCTGAGCCATGCTCATATAGCCATAGGTTTTGAAGCATACATTGGCTATTGGTCTTCCCGGTAATATGATTCCCATGACGTACTCTGTTATTATGTTTAGCCCTGGTGTCTGTACATGGAGATGGGAACATTGGTGAGTGCAGCAGAGTAAAGGGACTGAAATGATGTCCTGTGTTATATTTATATAAAATAAAAGTACCAATTGTTGTCAATTATAATGCAGGCGTGTGATGGTGTGAACTTATGCGTCCAATTAATTTGAGCTGGATAAATTTATAACCAGCCGTTTAAAGTTGTATATAGCTAAACTCAAGTGTTGTGTCATGCATTTGTTTACTGAGCATGTGACATGGAAGTCCGGTATAGGCCACCTTGCATGGAAAAACCCACATGACTACTCTAGATAAGCTGTTGTAATGATGACTTGATAGGTTTGACTTTCTATCAAGTTATCCTTTTGCTGCAAGTTAAATGAAAAAGTGAAGACGTCTGAGTCACCTGGTTTGTTGTTGCTGTTATGATGCTGATAGGAAGGGTGAATGTAAAGGCCATGGCACCAGCAAATAGGAGTCCCCACCATGGCATCTGAACCTCATCATTCAAGACGATGCAGAGTACAAGAGAAACTGCTACTGTAATGATGAGCAACATGTAAAACCACCAGCTAGGTATGTCCTTGTATCTTCTCATCAATCTTGTATGGATATCTTCCTTTCCTTTGTAAGAAGCACGATAGCGATCAAGGATCTCTCTGCCATTTAGGTACATCAAAATGTAACTGACTTTAAATCTTTCAGAATGATAATCTTATAGGGGAGAATTGTGCTTTTGTTAGTTGATTTAAAAGGTCGTATATGTTATTTCTTTTCATATGTATGTGTGTGATAAAACATTTAGGAAAACTAGAGGAAAACAAGTGAAGTAACATCATCAAACAATGTGTTACGTTGTTACAAACACATTTCAAACAGAAGAAACAACGCTCTTACTATCAATATGCAATAAACATAAAACGAATTAAGTAAACGCTAATATTCTCTCTTGTTTTTTGCAAAGTTTATGTGAAAATTTTACATTTGAGAGCTTATATATAGAAGGTTTGACATGTGAAAGTTGTGAGAGCTATGTTACCTTCCATAGAATAAGGCTACATGTGTGAGGGTGGATGCAATGGTTGCAAAACCAAAGCCATAAGTGAGAGCGAAAAACATGCTTAAGTGAATCCGCCCTTGCTCCTCATACTTTGAAATATCTAACTGAAATTTGTCATTGACTATAGCTGTTATGTTGTAATCTTGACCTTCTGCCGTAAACAAGTGCGAGGAAAAAATGGGGAACTTTTGTGCACTGTATGAGTCCAGTCCCCAGTATGCCATAGGGATAACTAAATAGAGTATCAATGCATACCCCGCAAAAACATTAACGATGACAAAGAAAGGGCAGATGAGGGGGCTGAACAAGAAGGATGCCACTGCCGACCAGTCAAGTGTCAGGGCTCCTACTCCAAGGCCTCTCATGCCCGAGCCAATCTGCTGAGCTGTAACTGACTTTGAGAATAGCCAGCAAACCCATGAGATGTTAGTGAGTGTTGTGAAGAGATACCCTGGGAAAGCATACCATGTAAAACTGCAAACTAGAGTAATTAGGAAGAACTTTGCCCGCGACATACGTTGCTCATCTTTCTCGTGCAGTGCCCTGCACGTTAAATATAAAAACGTAGTTAGCCATCAGCCGAGAGGTTGACAGTAATAACTGATTATCTAACATAGGATGCTATGCACTGAAGATTTTGAAACTACATTGTCATGAATTTAGCATGTCGCAATGGGATGTTTAGATGGATGACGTTCAATAGAAAGATAGTGTAGGTTCTGTGGATTACTAAGTAGATAGCGAATGTACATGAAGTTAGTTAGTAATGTCTGTTGAGATTGCAAGCATGTGAGAAATGTGAAGGCTATGAGTATTTTTGTTAAGGTCTTGAGAAAATATACGAAAGCGGATATTTGATGTTAGAATTGAGAATGGTACCCATACCCATATTTTTCATACTTATTCAGTGATGCGAATAATTGTGTCGACTTGATAGAAGTTATTTGTAAATTCTTTGTTTGTCTTTGTAATGATCATGTAATGCGTTTCAAATCTCTCTATCCTAAATCCCTTGGTATTTGAGAAATCACCCATCCAAACTTAGGGTTAGGGTCACATGATCCCTAAATTGGATTGGATAATTCTTAAGGTTCAAGGGTATGTATGTTCAAGTAAGAATGGAAAGTAGATGGGAGGGATTTATTAGTTTGTAGGAATTAGAGGCTAAGTTAGAGGTGTTGAGATCCTTTCGTTTTGTACGAATTAGAAGTGGCGAGTGTTATTGATGAGTAATTCATCTTCCACCGTCAACTTGGACACAATATTTTCATTTCTTCCTACGATATATTTTGAAATTAACGAGTTGTACATTTTAGACTGCTAAACGAGCCCTTAATACTTTAAATCAAAGGTACTATTTCATCTCCAGACTATAGTATTTAGGAAAATGGAAAAACTTGTCCTGTTTCAATTTCAAAATGGTTTAACAATTTAACACTTCAGTGACTTCAAACCTCCTGGGTTTATCTTTATAACATGGGAACACACGCTTTTATTCTGTTTGCATATCTTTGTTTAATCTTTTATGTTGTTTATGTTTGATTTATTTAATCAGTATAACCCGAAATTAAAAATAATAAGAAGAAGAAGGTGGTTTTGTAAGAAAGAAAAGATATGTAAAAAAATCAACTTCTCCAAGTTTTTTTTTTTTTTTTTTTTTTTTGAAAGGGATCCTCTCCGGATCCCTTCCTTCTAATCCACCAAATCAGGTAACATGGTATTATTGAAATTTAATCCAACAGGTTACAAACAAGGGTTTACTTTAAAAGTTATAATAGCTTCAGTTATTGGATCAAATTTTAATAGCACGGATTACCTGATTTGATGAATTAGAAGAAGGGATCCGGAGAGGATCTCTATACGGTTTTTTTTTTTTTTTTTTTTTTTTAAGTAAGTAAAAGGACATACCGGAAAAGTGAAACCTGTACAAGTGTATTGGGCCACCACATATGGGCAGGCTCCACAACATACTTCCTTAAAAGCCCAGCCCAGCCGTATCCCAATACCTGCAAGCCATTGTTGTCACCCTTACCAATTAAAATAGGTTTTTTTTCTAGTAGACATCAAAAGTTGCACATAGTAACTTAAGTCGTCGGATTATTTAATTTACCGTCAGTTTTCACTTTTCATAAAAATGTAAACTAGAAACCAAAATGTGAAGGCCAAATTTTAAAAATTCAAGAAAATAATTTTCAACCAAGATCTCAGTTTTCAGATTTCAAATATGTGAAAACGAAAGTTGAAAACAAAATGTTTATTGCAAATGACGCTCTACTTCAGTGGCGGAAACATCATGCATATGTATCCTGGTGAAGGTTCGATCCTCATAATTTCTCTTCACCTCTAACAACTAACAATTTAACTCACTAGCACTATCGCTAGTAAAAAAAAGAAAACTTTAACAAAAAGCTCCTGGTACTGTTTACTTCAACCAAAAACTATATTTTTACACTAAAAAGTCAATCTTAGTACTATTCATTTTACCCTTTATTTTGTTCTTATTATTAAAACTCAAATTTTCAAACTATTTTCATTAATTTTTCTTCAAAAAAAAAAAATGATAGTCAGTCAAACGGTCCAAAGATAAAAAAAACCAATAAACAAAACCAAAATATACGGCAAGCAGGCCAACTAGCAGTTAATAAGACAGATCAGCACATTTAACTATCTCATTTTTTATTGGCCAACCACTTTCGAAACCCACTTTTTATGGGACTAAACTTAAATAACTTGTACTCCTAAAAAATCAAATTAAAAAAAAGCATCATACCTGGGTAGTGATGATAAGCAGCCAACTAGCCAGAAGAGAGATTTTCCGGTGATAAAATGCTTTGATTATGTTAACAATCCCAACAGCATAAGCTGAGCCAGCTCCAAAAGCACTTCCGGCATTAGCAAAAATAGTAATCAGGACGTGCTCTTTTATGTTAAAAGGACCCGGATTCAACGAAAACGTCCGGGACCCGAACCCGGGTACGTGGAACGTTTTCGTTGGGAGGACTTTGGCCATGAAATAACCAATAGGGAGTGTTGATACTTGGACAGTGATTTGGGTGATGATGAGGGGCTCAGTTCTGTAGGAGAAGAATTGGTTGAGAAATGAGAGGAGGGCACATGAGACAAGGCCCAAGAACCACATCCGGAATGTCCATACGGGCAGGGTCGGGTCGTCGGTGTTGGTCACCGTAAGACGGACTTGTTCTATCGGAGAAACATCGTCGTCTTCGGTGTCCAGTTCGAGGGAGTGAGTTGACTTGGGGGTGGTGGCAAAGGAGGTGTTGGGATAGGGCTGCTCTATTTCTAGAGTGCTCATTGAGGATGGTTGAGAAGTTCAGAGAAATAGAGAGGAAAATTAAGAGTGTGAAGTTGAGGTTGGTTTGCTGTTTGGTTTAGTATAATTTGTAGGTAGGGTTGCACGCATGTCAAAAAGTTGGAAAGTAGACACATGGGAGACACTAATTTGGGGACAACAGACCTGACCCAAAACCCATACGGCAGCGCTTGCAAAATCCAATTAAATGCACTTATATTATAGGTAGATCAAAATTTTAAATTAAATTTTATAAACACGTGGTTGTTGATGATTGGATTGTTACTTAAATGTTGATTAACGTGTTTATTTCACGTTGATAACATATCATGTGGTTACAAATTTGATCTCCCTAACATTACTTCTTATATTATATATACAACAACTAAAAGTCTTCAAATTTACTTCAAATTTCGAAAGTGCTAGGTTTTGTTGGTAGACACCACACCAGATGAGCTCCAAGCTTTAATTAGATAGAGCCTAATTAACTAACCATATCTACCAAGCAATTGCGACAACCAAGAAGAAATCGAATCTTAATAAACTTAAATAACCAAAGCAACCTATTGAAGCATCATTAAAAACAAATAATTCTAAATCACAACTTAAACTATATCAATGCATGTGTATGATATGAGGTACTTATCTTAGCGGATGTCTCCGATTTTACTTGACACTCGATCAGAAGCACGTGAAACAAACTTAAGACTCCAACGATTATATTAAAAATATGTGCTAGTCTAAAATTACAAATTGATGTATTTTATTAGGAATTGTCAATTTCTTTTATATTTAAAACAAAATGAATGTATAATGACCTTTTTTGGAATGACACTTGTAAAGGTACATGGGCAGTGGCAGTCAGGGGGTGGGCAAATGGGTCATGGACCCGCAGGTCGGGGTGGTTCCATGCAGTTCGAGGTGGATACAGGGTGGGTCCAAAAATTATAAATACAAAATGGGAAGGGTCAGGCCGAGTCCTAGTAAATAATGAGGTGGGCCGGTTCTAAAAATTGGAGAAAACGGGTCCCTGGCCCTGACCGTTCATTGCCTAATTAAATCTTTACCAGTCTAGCTATCTATCACCCAGACAGCAATTCACTCAAACTCTCCCTTCACCCTCTCTCTCTATCCTGACTTCGAGTCTTCGACAACACCACTCCAAGTCTCTTCCCTCAATCTCTCCTCCTTGAGTCTTCTTTCCTCTCTTGTCTCAGACCTCAATCTCGAGCCCAGGCTCCCATCTCAGTACATCGACTTTCCACACTTGTTCGTTCTCCCCCACCCCCACCCGTAGTGACTGAGTTGACCTTGACTGTGTCAACATCACAGCAGCCAGCCACCATCACCACCGTGGCATCTTCTCCTAACTCTCCATCATGGCATCCCTAGGTAATTTATGAATTAGGGTTTCTGATTTAGGAATTTAGGGTTTTTGCATAAGCTTTTTGATTGATTTAGGTTTCTGATTTTGTTTTGATTTTGTGTAATTTGTAATGGCGAGGTGGAGGTTTTGGATTTGTGAGGAAGATGATGTTGTCTCAGGCTCCTACTTCTCTTCTTCTCGGCATCTAATTTCAATTTTATACTGAATTCGGGTTTAGGAACTAGGGATTCAATTACTTTGTTTTTCAGAAGATTAGAAGGCTTGCAGTTGCAAATCAAATTAGCTGGGAGTTAAATAATTTACTTGCATTTATAGAGAGAGAAAGTAGAAGATGAATCCCATGTTTTGGAAATCTGTGGTTTGTTGATCACTGAGATGTGGCAAGCAGACGACGTTAATGCCTTTACACAGCGGACTTTGCGATGGAAAACTGGGGTCGCAGACTGGTGGTAGCAGTAACGAAGCTACACTGGGGGCAATGTATGCTCAGGACCCCAATAACCCAGTGCTCCTCCTTGTAATTTGTTGTCTTGACCACATAATTTGTTCAAAGAAGACCAAATTTGCTGCTGTAAGTGGAGTAGGGCTAGATATTTTGCATACCATCCATTTGGAATTTGGCTTCATCCATTGGACTGGAGATACGAATTTTACTTTCTATTCATGTGGGCTGGTCTTTGTTTGACCAGTTTGTGCACTACATATGTTCATCTTTTGCTTGCTAATTAGAACATTACATAATTCACTTAGTTACGTCTCTCATTAATTGTTTCAACAACTATCTTCTATTAAGTTTTGAATTTGATTATATTATCATACCAGTATCAATGATGGAGTATCATTTTTCTTTTCAATGGATTAAATTGATCTAATGATTGAGCATTTGTAACGTAAGACATATAATGTGAGCCTTATGACATTCTTCTAAGTCTCAGGGCAATCGATTATATATATTTTGTAATCTTTTTAATACAATGAAATATTTATACTAAAGGGTGGGGGAATGAATTGGTTGTCAACTCATCATTCACGAGATTCGAACCTAAGAACTCTCATTTACAAGTGAAAAGGAATAGCACTAAACAGTAGTATTAAGTGTGACATCCCACATCGCCCAGGGGACTGATCCTTATATGTGTATTCCCATCCTTACCTAGCGCGAGGCCTTTTGGGAGCTCACTGGCTTCGGGTTCCATGGGAACTCCGAAGTTAAGCGAGTAGCGCGCGAGAGCATTCCCAGGATGGGTGACCCATCGGGAAGTTCTCGTGTGAGTTCCCAGAAACAAAACCGTGAGGGCGTGGTCGGGGCCCAAAGCGGACAATATCGTGCTACGGTGGTGGAGCGGGCCCGGGGAATGGTCCCCCCCGGGCCGGGATGTGACAATTTGGTATCAGAGCCTAACCCTGGTCGCGTGTGTGCTGACGAGGACGTCGGGCCCCTAAGGGGGGTGGATTGTGACATCCCACATCGCCCAGGGGACTGATCCTTATATGTGTATTCCCATCCTTACCTAGCGCGAGAGCATTCCCAGGATGGGTGACCCATCGGGAAGTTCTCGTGTGAGTTCCCAGAAACAAAACCGTGAGGGTGTGGTCGGGGCCCAAAGCGGACAATATCGTACTACGGTGGTGGAGCGGGCTCGGGAAGTGGTGCGCCCCGGGCCGGGATGTGACATTAAGTGACACATGTATTTATACTTATAAGTAGGTTAATTCATTAAGTTTTCTTCCTTGTGAAAAGTTTATTTTATCATGACCCCATCATTACAAAATCCTGGCTCCGCCACTGGGTGGCAGTATGCCCAAAACCGAGAAAAAAAAAAAAAAAAGAGTAGTTGGACCCGTGGACCCTTCCCGAACCGGTCTGTTTGAAACGGGCCGGGTTAGGTTCGGTTCCTAAACTCAAAATACCTCTACCCGGCCTGGCCTGTTACATTTTAAAATGGGTAAGGCCAGGTTCCTCCAAATTTTGGCCCGGCCTGGCCTTTGCCCAACCCTAGGCAGTCTTAACCATTACTCCACAATTTCTGCAATTGTCCTCGACAAGCCTTTACAGATTATAGTATTTGTCGACATATGTTTCAGCAAATGTTAGTAGTAATACACAGACGTCCACCAAATGCTTAATGAAATGATCCAATAATTTTTTTTTTTTTGTCGGAATCATAGCCCCGTATGAAAATTATGGCTCTGCCACTCTACTGGGGGACGTGGTCCACAGCCAATCGATAAAAAAGGCAACCCAAATAAAGAGAAATTAATTAACAAGATAAAAATGGCGGTAATTTAGTGAATCCCTCCTTTCACTCTTTCACCTCACAAATCTAACAACAAATCCATCTTTCCTTGTTTATCTCTTGAATCAAACAAATGAATTGTAATCAATTATCTGAATAATTAAATATTACTTAAGCAACATAAATAGAATAGTAATAAGTGATTTGATCATTTTTTTTTTTTGAAAAATCAATATATTATAGCTGAAATGATAGATAAAATAAAGAAAGTTGAGTCAGCAAGATCAATTGACAATATAAGAAATAGTAAGTAATTTATAAGAACACGCAAAATCTCTTTCAAGTGAAATTTATTCTCTAAACAATAAAACAAAAATACAATATTTGTACCAGTATTTCAAAATTGGCTTGTTTCTTCTTTTGTTTTGTTTAATATATGAAGTTTTAACGAAAAGCCGCGGTACTATTCATCTTAACGAAAAATCACATTTTTACTCAAAAAAATCAATCAGGATACTATTCACTTTACCATTTATTTTACCCTTATCTTTAAAACTCAAACATTTTAAACTATTTTTCATTATTTCTTTTTAAGTTTCAAGCCGCTTTTGAAGGTAGTTTTCAGTTGTTGGAGGCGGAACTTTCCCAGAAAGCTATTCGTTATGTGCAGAACGTGTGTTGTGTCATCCTTCTTGTTTTCAACGCCGCTTTGTCTCCCAAACCATCCCACCATCTCTCGAGTTTGACCAAAACAAAAAGGGTACATAAACATGCAGCTGATACATCATAATCTTCGTTTGGAATTGTTCAATAGCGTGTGGCTGCTCTGAAACTTTCTGGGTTTTCTGTCTTCCGCCGCTTTTTGATGGATTCTGCTGCCTCTCATTTGGTGCAGTGCTGGATTTCTAGCTTCCCAATGAGGTAAAAAGATTATCCATTTCCCCAATTTTCGATCTGGGTTTTTTGTTTATATTGTTGGGGATGATTTGAATATAGTTTTCATGTGTATTTTCAGGAACTGATGATTTGGAATGATTTGAAATACATGGGCTGTTCAAGTTGATAAGTAATATTGATTTCTGTTTCCATTGGATCCAAAGAGCCTTTCCTTTCCTGTATATATTTGACTACCACCATCTTTGGTGTTTGTAATATATTTGGACCAAAACGTATTGATTGACAACGTACAGATTTGCAGTTGGGATGCAGCCTGCAGCTTTTGGTTGGACCCGAAAAATGATTGGTTAGAGGTTTTATATGATTGGTGGGTAGGTGGATTCAGGATTTTGCTTCTTATATTTGACTTTGATATAATTGCAGACCTGTGTATTGGTAGTATTAGATTGATTATATTATAAAAGCTATACAACTATGGAGCTACCTGATGAGGAGGCCGTCGCCAACGGAGAGGCGGAGGAAATGAACAGAGAGCTCTCTGCGGAGGCTCCTCTCCGGGAGCCCCATTCCTACCAGAGTCATTTTGGGGGGATGGTGAGGAAGAAAGCTTATATCTTTGACGGTCTTGGAAATTTTTACAACAAGGAATGGGATCTTACAGAAGGTAGAGGCAATGAGTTCTGTTGGTACCATGCTGAACTTCCAAAAGGACATCAGAAGCTTTCTCAGTCTGCACAATACCTCATTGGTGTTCTTTGCCCGCCTTTGAAACTTCAGGATATTCTCTCTCTTGTCAGCAATGGACCATTTTGTGGGTATGTTGATGGGGCTCTGGTCTTCAGAGTCAACTCTCCTGGCCCTCCCTCCAGTGATTTCACATTTAGAATTGCCGCAAGAATTACCAAGAATTCAGTTATCACTGTGTCTTTGGGCCGTGTTCCCAGATTGGGTTTCTCACCGGTGGGTCAATCTCTTCTCTCAGAGATTCCTAGTGTGGAGAGTCCCTCGTATCATAGAGGTGAGCAGAGGGAAAAGAGCGGGATTGTCATAGGGGAGCATGTTCTTGAGTTCTTATTGACAATGAATCACTCTGAGGAAGCCGATAATCCCGTGCCAAAATCTGTCTCAAATCTTGTAGTTCATATTGTTGACACGCATGTGGACCACCTCCAAGATGTTGTGACTAAACTTGAGATAGAGTTGGATTCTGTTGAGCTTCAGATGGATAAAGGTGAGTTTCACCTACTACGTTTAAGCTACCTTCCGTCTATTAATTGTTCATCCCAGCATATGTTGTTTTTTCTAACAAATTCCTAGTCAATTTCTTATATCTCATCCAGTGTGCAGAAAATGTTATAAAACTTACAAGTTTCATATTTCATTCCTTGCGTTTTTAATCAATAGTGCTGTTCTCTATCATAAGCAATTCTAAGTTCAGTTGATTTGGTATACCTTCAGTAGCGGGTGGGACGTACTTTGTTGTTCTTTTAGTTATCTGACATGAAATTCTTGAAGACATATTTTCCTTAGACATCATTTTAAACTGCTGATGTTTGAGTAATTGTATTATCTCCCATTTGTAATTAGGACTTTGCCTTCATGTGTAACAAAACGACTACGGAAAGATTAAAAGAGATAAATGCAGATTAGGAATTGGTGAAATTCCATATACACCGACTAACAATCCTATCCTTTGTTTTGTGATGTATTTTATATTCTTTCTGTTTTCCTTGCTTAACCATTTCCTCAATCGAGAGATTTGGTAAATTAACATATCAAAAGAAAGTGTTGTATACTTTGATAATATGCATCTGGGACAATGTACATACGCATGTCCTTCAAATAATGTACATAGTTAGCTCAGTACTAAAATATTTAGAACATTCTTTGATCGAATAATATGCATTCGTGTTCTGATTTGTAACAGGTGGGCTTGCTTTAAAGAAACAAATGCTGGATGACAGGAGATTTCCTAAAATGCATCTAGATCTGCAGCGGCTCCTACAGGTAGTTTATCAGTCCATTGTTTTCTTTAGTTTGTGGAATGGAACAAAGAGGGACCAAGTAAAGCATTACTGCTTATTTTGAGAGGTTATTTCTCAACCTTTATGATAGCAAACAACCCAAACAAAGAAACTAGCGCACTGCAAAATTTCTTCTGTTTGGATTTTTATGCTCCTACTGTTTTGGGGCATCCTGACGATTATATACCTTCTAATCCAATGCTCACCCCACATCATATTGTGCCAGAATGGTATTTCCTACCGATCCATGCCATTCTTTGTAGTATACCTGACAAATTGGAAGTTGTAGCTGCAATAGCACCTGTTTTATGTCTGTTGGCTTTACCTTTTTCTAAAAGTATGTATGTGCGTAGCTCAAGTTTTTTCCCTATTCACTGAGGAATATTTTGGTTGCTTTTGGCGGATTGCTTACTAGGGCGAGGTTAATTGTATATTGCTGTTCCGTTCTTTCAATTAAGCTAATTCCATGAGTTTAAAATATTTGATTGTTTTTCCACCAGCCATTTTGGAGGCTGGGCCTAATAGCACCTAAACATCTAGTTTGTAGACAAGTGTATATGCTCATTGATTGTTCAGAAGAATGTGAATGGGGGATAGAAATTGTTGCTCCAAACTGATTTAAATTTTCGTTTTAGGAATGACCATGTGGGATAAACCTTCTTGATTGTGCATTTAATATTAATGACCTCAGGTGATTGCTCATGGGGAGCAAGTTTTTCCTCGCGTCAGAGAAAGATGTTCCTCGAAGCAATGGTTTTTGAGTGAAGATATTACCTCTCTTGAAGAGCTGATAGGACGATTGAGGAGGCTAAAGGAGAATGTAGGCTTTATAGCAAATCGTGTCACGGCAATACAGGCTGGTCTAGACAGTTGGCAAGCTGAGCAGATAAACAGGAAACTGTATTATCTCTCATTCCTATCTATAATATTCCTTCCTTTATCCATCGTGACTGGAGGTACAGTTGTTTGTTAGCATAAATTTTCATTTGCAGGTTTTTATGAGGCATTCTTATATGTTCCATTGTGAGCAAGAAGCTTTTGACAACAAACCCTTGTGTCTCTTGCAGTGTTTGGCATGAATGTGGGGGGAGTTCCGTGGACGGAACAAAAAGACCCAACGGTGAAAAATGGTTTCCGTAATGTCATGTTACTCTGTGTAGCTATGCTTCTTCTGGCACTTCTCTGCTTCAGCTTTCCTGTTTTGTATACCCGAATAGCTGCTTGGCACAGGAGAAGAGCCATGAAGAGGAGCTGGTCCCTCAACAGGAAATCATACCTAAAGAGAACCCATGGAATTGAAGCTCAAGAAAGAAGGGGCTACCTCCGCATTTGAGAAAAGCATCTAGATTTGCAGTATGTCCTTTTATTTCTTCATACTTGGTTTCGCATTCTTTCTTGTTTCGTTTTAACATTCATATCGTCATCATTGCCTTAATTCTGCTCTAGTAATCTTGTGTTGCTTTCTAAGTTCATGGGCAATAATATCATTTTACTTTGCCCTAGATCGGAGATTTCGCCTGTGCACTTACTGTTATCTGGACAACCAAGAGGAAAAGTTAGAGATTTCTCGTTGGAGACGGCCTGTTCTTTGGATGGTTTTGTTTCTTTACTTGATTTACAGTTCCTCCATTTTTTCACCTTGGAGGTCAGCTTGTAAATGTACAGTCTCTTGTATCATATGTTTAATACTGCTGCAGATGGTGTTGTACAATTTCCACTCAAAAGATTAACAGCTTCATGATCATAAGCAAAACATTCGTTCAACTGTTGTGAGGATTTGGGACATGGGGAATAAGCTGTTTACCAGTTTCATTTCGATTACGAATTGCTCTTTTTCGACGGAAAAATGAAAGAAAGAATCAGCAGTTTCAAAAGATGAGAATGAGAATTTAGCAGTTTCAAATGATGAGAATGTTGGTGACTTAACTAGCTGCTATCAGTTTCATTTCGAATGATGCTTGCTGAAATTTCAACAAATTTTAGATGTTTTACATTTTTTTTCTTCGTGTTTGGAGTGTATGATAACCTTTTGCCGAGTGATAATAACAGTTGTCTCTAAGTTTTGCAAATGAAAATTTACTATGGACTTGTATTTTGTTAAAAAAAAAAAAAAAAAAAAAAAAAAAAAGAAAAAGAAAACTATATATATAGTAATTGACCATTACCATTACCCACAATCCAATGCATACCTTGAAGAACAAGATTTCTGAAACTGAGAATACCTTTCCAAGCTATAGAAGTTCTCATTTCTTGAGCGTCCATGGATCCAAAAAAGCTCAAAGCAACGCTACTTCCCCATTCAAGATGCTGATGGCAATTTTGTTGCAGCAAAATCTCCAGGTTTTGAGAATGTCTTTTCCCCAATTTAGATGGAAGCTTTGGCCACTAGTGAAGGGGCTGCTTTGGCAGTTGAGACTTGAGAGGGGTATGAAAAATGAAGTTGCTCATCAACTAGCAAGCCAGGCTCTCTTTGGTCTCTCCTTCACGTCTTGGTTTGAAGAGCCACGAACCTCATTCTCGATTTTCTCTTACGAAGGCTCTGACTAATGGCTCTAGGTGTTCTTATGGATTATGTTTTGTCTCCCTAGATGTTTAGCTTGTATTGTCTCTTTCTCAATCAATGTATGAATCTACTATCGTTGCTTTGAAAAAAAAAATGATTCACTAGAGCTTTACGATTTAGAGTGCTACCATCAGAAGAACATGTCGTCTTGTGAAAGGTAAGGATTTTTTTTTTTTTGAACAAGCGATATTATCTACATTAAAAGAAAATGTTGATTTAGCCTCATAATGGATTACTTAATAAAGAAAAACTAACGAAAAGTCATAAAAAACTTTAGTTTTAATAAAAAATGACAAAATAAAGGTGTAAGTGAATAGTATCATGAGTGATTTTTCAAGGTAAAAATGTCATTTTCGCTACAAGTGAACAATACCAGTAGTGTTTCATTAAGATTCCCTAATAATAATGCCGTTCAAACTCGTAACGAATCTAAGACCTCTCATTGACAATTTTTTTTTTTTTTTAACAAACATATTATCTACACTAAAGGGGAGAGGGTGAGTTTAGCATTATAACGACTAGCAATAATGAGGTTCAAATTCGCCTTTAACGAGAATCGAACCTAAGATCTCTGACTTACAACTGAAGAGGAATATTACTAGACCGTAGTACTAAGTGACTTCACGCAAACAGGCATAAATATCGTAATGGGACACAAATTGTCTTAATGAAAGGAATCAAGTTCTTGTCTCAACTGTATTTCAAAGTTTCCATTTATCGTGTTTATTTAATATTGGTTGATCCTATCATGTGCATGTATTAAATTGTATATTTATCTGCATGATTTATGTGATTGATTTAATAATTGAACTCTAATTTTTCAAAGAAATTACACAAAATTTATTTAATTAGATTCGAACTTAGAAGCCATTAGTAAAACACGCTGCTTTAACCAAGTTCAATGAACTAAATCTAAACACGTCTAGTTGGACAGTTCGGGGTGCACCGTGCAGCTCAAGAAAGCTTCTTCATCCCGTTCCCACTAAAGTAGGCAGGCACTTGATCAAAGGAAAGGTCAGATCAGACTTCCTCCCTTGGCCACGTAGCAAACAGCTTACCCGACGTCGTCTCGCCAATACAAACCACAAATGGCAAAAGCCCTGACGGCGCCGTTTCGTGTAAGTAGATAGATCCAGAACCTTCCATACGCATCCTCCGCTCATTTTTCCGCCTCATAAAGCAACACCCTTTCCCCAACAAAAACCCTAAACCCTAACTCAAAACCCTCTATCGTCTTTTCTCGACATCCTCGTCTCTCTCTCTCTCACTTTGCTCTAGTCAGCCATGGCCACCGCCGCCTTGCTCCGCTCGCTACGACGCCGTGATTTCGCATCGGCTCCTCTCTGCGCCTACCGATCCGTACGTCTCTTTGCTTTTTCTGAGATTTGTTTTTGAGTTCCCAACCTGTCACTCTCGCCACGCGATCATTTCTCTGTTTCATCTGTTTTTGGCTGAAAGTTATGAGATTTTCAGCTTGTTGTAGAATTTCTTGATTTTATGGAGTATTTGTTTGTTGTGATCCCATAGAATTGAACAAGTAAAAGATTTATAATTCAATATTTGAATTTTTTGGGGCTTCTGATGTGTTATTTTGTCGGTTCGATTGGGTAATGATAGATACCTTTTCCTGATCTGTTATTTACGCCGCTGGCGTATTGTTGTTTTTTATGTCAATTCAGATTACAATCGTTTGATAGAGCTTTATTTTTTTATTTTTCTTTTATCTTTCATATATCACTGCAATTCCCTTGTTGCAGTTTGCTTTTTGTTCTGATTAATTGGAGCTAATTGATGAAATGGGTTGGAGCAGGAAGCTTGGGTATTAATATAGATGAATTGAGGCTTGGTATAATAGCTCGATATGAATCGTGGTGATTATTTACGTGATTTATGTTTTTGCAGTTGAACAGCGCGTCTAAGCCGTCGCATCTCGCTCAAAAATGGGCAAGCTTGGCAAGACCTTTCAGGTATTTTGGGCATTCCCTTGTACATTACGATACTATGTCATTCTTTTTGTATTTTGGATTTTGTTTCTAATTGTATCCTGTAATATGAATAGTTCCAAACCTGCTGGAAATGATGTTATTGGCATTGACTTGGGTACAACCAACTCATGTGTGGCAGTGATGGAAGGAAAGGTAAGGGCCGTTTAGAAGTTCTTGTTCATGTTCTGACTCAAATTATCGTTTAAGCTTTATGCGCATGTGGTTTATGTCTCATTAAGTGTGAAATTGTTATAGAACCCCAAAGTGATCGAGAATTCTGAAGGAGCTCGAACCACACCATCAGTAGTTGCTTTCAACCAGAAAGGAGAACTATTGGTTGGTACTCCAGCAAAGCGTCAAGCTGTTACCAACCCCACAAACACTGTTTTTGGAACCAAGCGTCTGATTGGTAGACGCTTTGATGATCCCCAAACGCAAAAAGAAATGAAGATGGTTCCATACAAGATAGTAAAGGCTCCAAATGGAGATGCTTGGGTTGAAGTCAACGGACAGCAGTACTCCCCAAGCCAAATTGGAGCCTTTGTTCTAACAAAGATGAAAGAGACGGCGGAGGCTTACCTTGGAAAGAGTGTCTCAAAAGCTGTGATTACAGTTCCAGCTTATTTCAATGATGCACAGAGACAAGCAACCAAGGATGCTGGCAGAATTGCAGGTCTAGATGTTCAGAGAATCATCAATGAGCCAACAGCTGCTGCACTTTCCTATGGTATGAACAACAAGGAAGGGCTAATAGCAGTGTTTGATCTTGGTGGTGGAACGTTTGATGTATCCATTCTCGAGATATCCAATGGCGTTTTTGAGGTTTGCTACTTTCCTAGTAAGCTATGTCTTTTAATATTTCTTCATTTTGGACAATATTGTCAACAACTTTTTCTTATCTAGGTGAAAGCAACAAACGGCGACACATTCTTGGGAGGAGAGGACTTTGACAATGCTTTGTTGGACTTCTTGGTGAGTGAATTCAAGAGGACGGAGGGTATTGATTTGGCAAAGGATAGGCTCGCCTTGCAGAGGCTTAGGGAGGCAGCTGAGAAGGCTAAGATTGAACTTTCATCAACATCTCAAACCGAGATAAACCTTCCCTTCATCACAGCTGATTCTTCAGGTGCTAAACATCTGAACATCACATTAACTAGATCCAAATTTGAAAGTCTGGTGAATCACTTGATTGAGAGGACAAAGTCCCCGTGTAAGAACTGTTTGAAGGATGCTAATACATCCATTAAGGACGTGGATGAGGTTCTTCTTGTTGGAGGGATGACACGTGTTCCCAAAGTGCAAGAGGTCGTTACAGAAATATTTGGAAAGAGCCCAAGCAAAGGAGTGAATCCTGATGAGGCTGTTGCTATGGGAGCTGCCATCCAAGGTGGTATCCTTCGTGGGGATGTGAAGGAGTTGCTTCTTTTGGATGTTACTCCTCTGTCACTAGGTATTGAAACATTGGGTGGAATCTTCACCAGGCTGATTAGTCGCAACACGACAATTCCAACCAAGAAGAGTCAGGTCAGTCATTAAAGCCAAACATATCTCAGATTACATTGACAAGGTGTGTTGTGTCAAAGGGCAATTTTTGAGGGAAGCATTTTGTTTGTTTTTATCTTCTAGCTAGAGTTAATTGCATCTTTTCTAATTGGAATTAATATGACTTGATCGTAACCTTGCCTCTGTTAGCCTTAGAGTTTGATCTGACTAAACATTTTGCCAAAGTATCAGACTCTTTCCTTTTGTTGTGGATCTTGTGTTCCTAATTTTGATTTTTATTATTGCAGGTGTTTTCGACTGCAGCTGACAACCAAACCCAAGTGGGTATCAAGGTGCTACAAGGAGAGCGTGAGATGGCTTCTGACAACAAGATGTTGGGAGAGTTTGAACTTGTAGGCATTCCTCCAGCACCAAGGGGCCTGCCTCAAATCGAAGTGACCTTTGATATTGATGCCAATGGTATTGTCACTGTTTCTGCCAAGGACAAGGCCACCAACAAAGAGCAGCAGATTACTATCCGCTCATCTGGAGGTCTTACTGACGAGGAGATAGAAAAGATGGTCAGGGAAGCAGAGCTGCATGCTCAGAGAGATCAGGAGAGGAAAGCATTGATTGACCTCAGAAATAGTGCAGATACAACGATCTACAGTATTGAGAAGAGCTTGAACGAGTATCGTGACAAGGTTCCAAGTGAAGTTGCCAAAGAAATTGAG